AGTAGTGATTACAAATATTTCCAAGCCCTAGGGAAATTATGATATATAAGTAAATTTTATAATGCTGAAGATTTGCATAGTATAATTAGAACAAAATGTAAACAAATACGTATCGATATCATTATTTTATTACCAAATAAGGTAGCTGCGCGGCGCTGTAAATTTATGAATTAACCCGATTAGGTAATTCTGTAATTTGGATATACATCTAAACTTGCTACTCCTCGTATATGTACGTTCGTATTTCAAATTTTGCAAACCAATACTTGCACTACAATTATTTATTGCTTTACGAAAAAAAAAAGAAATCGATGATTTCTGATTTCGATTTCTTACATATTTTTGCAGAAATAAAAGTTGTAGTTGTACCATATTTCTGTATTTGCTAAGTATCTTTTGTAGAAATACAATTTGCATATTCATCATGGTGTAAAGAATTTGATTGTGTATTGTTAAATTTTGTTTCTTTTTTAACCCGATAAAATTTACTATTACATGATGAGCAAGAAGAAAATTTAAAGTTGTGCCAAAATTCATCTTATTAAGAATTATTTCATGATTCTATAAAAAATTAACTTGTTTATTACTGAAAAAATAATGAAATTTCAAAGTAAAAGCATAAGGAACTTTAGTATAATTTTTTTTGTTGGAAATAAATTTTCACAGTTACTGTACCTCTGGTAAAGTTTCCGTGATCACTGAGCTGTGCGCGTGATTTGGCCAAAATTACATGCGTAATTTTGGCCGAATTATGTGTTCACATAACAAGCTCAGTGATCGCGGAAACTTGACCGGAGGTGTCACCTATAATAGATTTAATCCCATTAGAAAAGATTTTTTTTTAAAAAAATGTAATCTACATATATATATATATAAAAAGGTTTTTATATTGTATAATATTATTAGTGATATACAGTACATACATCACAAAGGCAGGGACGATGATTTTCTGCGGTGGTTTTTATTTATTTTTATAGCGTTTTGCAAAAATGAATTTTGTGATGATGATCGAGAAAAACTTCCGGGATTCTAAATTGTCTTATTATTGCGGTTTGCATAATTTTGTAACCCCTATTATAGTTGTTAGACGAATTTTTCGCATGATGACGAAAGACGAAACCTTAAACCTAAAATGACAAACCTTACGCTCAAAAAGACAAAACCCTAGGGTTCTCGTCAAAAAAAAAAAAAAGTAATTTTCATTGAATTACATTCATAATTATTAAGATAGCAGTATTCGAAATTACATGTATGCCAGCAAAAATAAATCAGTTCATTTTTTCTGGACAACGTTAGGGTTGTTATAACCGATTGAAACGGCCTTGTAAAAGCCATAGTACTCATAGAATAACACAAATAATGAATTAATACTGGCACAAAATAAATTCATAAGATCACAAAGTAAGCACCAAACGTAGAACTGATATGTAGTGTACTAATAAAATACAATAGATCTAACTCCCTTTAACAATTCAAACGCCTATTATACAATAAATTTTTATAATTTCTGTTTTTGCTAGTTTATTTTTTTATAAACATAACCTTCAATGATTTTCAGCAACATTTATTCGTATAATCTTCTTTTATTAGTTTTGTCACCCTTTACAGTTTCGTCAATTTCGTCATTTAAGATTTTAATTGATGAAAGACAAAACTAGGTTTTGCGTTTCGTTAGTGTGAAACCTCGAGGTTTCGTTTAACAACTATACCCCCTATGATTAATTTTTTATAATTAAATGATTGTGATTGCGATTGTAATCATTAAAGTCAATCAACTTATCATAAATTTGAATTTGACACAAACTCAGATTTATGTAAGTTGGCTTGCTTTGGCAATCACGATCACAATTATAATTAGAGATGTGCGATTGCAAGTTTTTTTTGGCTTTGAATTACATAATGCAACATTATGTCGCATTATGCAGTATGCAATTCTGTACAATATACTATGGACCTCTCTAAACCTGTATGCAGTGAACAGACTAGTGATTGGACCTGGGTGGAAATGGGTGGGTCACCCGACGGGTGACCCATAATTGCAAGACTTTACTAAACTTCAATCCAAAAAAAAACTTTTCAAAACGGGCTAAAGATGCTCTCAAGAACCTACTCAATGTCGGAGGTTAATTTTTAAACGTTACCATTTCAATGAGATACAATCCATCTTTTTTCTTCAAAATCCTACCATTGATAAAGGTCCCTCAAGATTTATCCAAATTTTAGTGACTAATGTATTGGTATTAACCTATATTTGAAATAGAGCTAACTATGTTTGTTATACAATATTTATTATTTAGTATTTTCTATTTATTAAATTTTGTATATATAGTCAGACCTCTCTAAGTGCACCTTCTCTAAGTATAAATACATACTAAAGTGCTAGCCCAAATCTCTATAAATACAGTTTTTTTTATTATTCACCATATGCACATTATTAAAGTGTAGTTTTAAGGACATGCTTAGAGATACTAACTATTATCTAGCATTTAAAATTTCACAGTTTTTATATACATGAGTTATACACATTATCAAAATTAATTTACATTTAAGCTGTTTGAAATTACCATTTCGTTTAACGTCCCCCCTCTCCACCTCCACGAGCTCCCCTAAAATTAAATGGCCAATCAGAACAGAACGTTTATTACGCTTTGAAATCCCAATAACGGAAGTGTCATTTGTCATCTGGTTTTTTAACAGGGGTGGGTGCCAAAATATCATGCTAATAGATCACGTTTATATGTAATCGTAATCATTTGAGGGATGGGGGTGATTTTACTATTTACAAAAAATCAAATGATAAACGACACTTCCCTAAGTCGCGTGCTTATAAGTCAACCAATAACAATGTGATTATTTTTGCGAAATAACATAATGCTTATTTAAATTGATTCCCATCCCACTGCACTTAAGCGTCAAAAGGGGCGTTAAACGAAATTTCAATTTCTAACAGCCTTATACTAAATTTAATAAAATGCAAATTTTAATACTATAAATGCCGGATAAAATAATAATTCAAACACAGTCAGACCATTGGGACCTCTTTAATAATGTGCATTTAGAGAATGATAAGAAAAAGTGCGTTTATAGAGGTCAAGTATATATTCGGGACAGCACTTAAATGTGCATTTAGAGAGGTATACACTTATAGAGAGTGCATTTAGAGAGGTCTGACTGTACTTAGAGAGTGTGTGCATTTAAAGGGGTTAAAATTTAATTTATAATCATTGTTAGTGTTTAAAATTACCTTGCACGAAATGCACATGTGCAAGTAGTTTTTTTTTGCGCAAATGAAGTTATAAATGTATGTGTACAAGTGTGTAATTAAATTTAATTAAGGAGCTTGCGCAAAAAATGACATGCAAGAGAAATTATAAAATTTTATTGCACGAAAATTTAGTCTAAATATAAAATATGAGATACTGTAGGATAAAGATATGTAGTCCGAATAATTCCGAAAGAAAATGAATGAACATAAAATATGAGCAAGGTTGAGCTTAAATTTGAGAAAATATCCAAAATAATCAAAAAACACGATCAAATAAAAATAAAATTTATATGCACATGTGTACGACTAGCAGTTGGTTTATGCAATCAAAACCTACTGCATTTTGTGCGTGCATTTTAAATACTGATCGTTGTACAGTCAGACCCCTAAATGCACCCCTAAATGCAGCACCTTAAATGCATGATATAAGCCATGAGACTTATAGATAAATGCATGTTCTTTATTTTGTAAGTGCTTATTGTCCGATGTTACGAAATTTTTGTGTTTAAATTTTCTTTGTTATATTTTCTATATTGTATTACTATAGTTGTTAACGCTATATGGCTGTGCAAGGGTTGGCACATTTGTCTATTGGTACGAATGGACCCATGTCTATTGACCATTCCATTGGACTGTCACCATTCCAATAGATCAATGGACATGTAGGTTTATAAATGAGTTTAGAATACTATACCACGTGATATTCGAGATTTTTTTTAGTGTTGACCTTATTCTAACTTATGCTAATGGACCAATGGACGAATGGATTATGATATTGGTCCATTTAAATCCATTGACAAACTTATTTTGACCTGGGCTGTGCATGATTAGAACCACAAATATTGGTTCGAAACCATAGTTGGCCACAGATCGTGGTTTGAGACCACGTATAATAGTTTAAGACCACGGATCTTGGTTTGAGACAACAGATCTTGATTTCAAACCATGGCAAAATAAAATGTATAAATATAATGCCCAAACTAATTAAGGAAATGCTTGAGTCAAAAATGCAGTAATAAATAACGTCCTTATGAATCGTATACCAACTAAATTAATTCTTTAATAACCCATTATCATTATATCCCGAATCCTTTATAAACATTCATCTCGCATAACCTATGTGAGCTAATATAACCTCATGTTAGCCAAGTCACTCCCACGGTGTCACAGGTTAATCTATGACTTTCGTCACAGAATGACCTAATCCGGATGGGGAGCACTTGATCGCTTGGCTAATACCGGATATCAATGTTTATATTAAGGCAGGTATTTTACTTACTATTCAAATGAAGTTTATTAATTAATAGAGCGAAACTAAACTAATACAAATTTAAACTAATACAAACTGACTAACTAAACTAAACTACTTTTGCTTCGATCCTTATATACATATTTGACTCTAATCGTTACATCATATATTGATCATACGACCATTGTCTCTTAAATTACTTACATATTTTATTTGATTGTTCATGCATAACTTAATAATAAACTATCTTGCATTACCTATCAATGTATAATTGATCTCTCTCTTGATCTTACTTCAGTATTCCAAACATACTACCGACCGTCCATACTTCCGATCAATCATCACCTAAGTCACGTGTTCAAGACTCTGATCAATCGATCACTTTTACCCTTATTTTCCAACATGTTAATCGCATATTGTATGTCACCATGACACAAGCTAGAGCCCCAGGAACTTTGTCCTCGGAGTTTCCAGCACCTGCAAGCTCTATTCTCCAACATAATTTGTACAACCAATTCCCAAATCCGCATAATTTTCCACAAGTTCTCCAGCAAGACTCTTCCATGATTGAAAATTCGTTTAATTCAGATTTCGAGTAGGTGTTCATCTTTTCTTTGCTTTTTCTTTTTCTTTGAGCTCTTCTTATTATCCTTAATCACTTCACTAATCTTCGTTTTCTTTTTATCATTTGCATAATCATTTCCCACTTGATTCATTACCTCATCATCAACATCGTTTTTCACATTTACCTCTTTTCCTTTTACTTCGCTCTTCCCTAACTCATCCGCCTTATTCCTTACATCCAATCTGCCTCTTTTATTCCTTTCAATCTCCATTGCCGATTCACAAACTTCAGCTCTACCACCTGAGCTAGTTTCCCCGAAGCTTTCATCTTCGTCAACATCCAAGCAACGGGCCAGTACCTTGTTTTCATATTTTTCAACACCAATTTCATTCTGATAACAATCACCAGCGATATATACTTCATTAGTACCTCCCATTTTACAAGGCTTCTGATAATTGATAAATGACTTATATTCATTCCTTTCGACATCAGTTTCATCATACTCGTGGTAATCTGTCCCTTGATAATCAACGAATGCCTTATATCTATCTATTTTGGCTTCACTTCTATAATAATGACAATGATCTTCATTATTTGTTCTGCCAACTTCACCCATATCTTCAGATTTTTGATAATGAATGATCACTTTATGTTTATCCTTTTCAATATTACCTCTGCAATGGTAAAAATGTTCAACAAATGGTCCATTAACATTACCTATATCAGCAGGATTTTTATAGTAATCAACTGCCTTATACCAATCCTTATCATCACCAATTCCATGAACGAAAGCCTTTCATTCATCCATTTTATCTCCAATTCTATGATTATGACAATAGTCATCATTATATGTTTCATCAAAACCACCCATATTTCCAGATTTTTGATAATGTTTGAATGCTGGATTACTACTTTTAATTATTTTTCCCCGGTCAAATACTAATCTCTGATCAGCTTCCAATTTCGGTTCTCTACCTTCAACATGCTCCGAGTGTTCTGCAATTATTTTGTTTTCATCCTTATCAGTATTTTGATAACAGATGAGTGCCTTATTTTCATCTCTTTTAATTTCATTCTTTTCATCATAACAATGTCCAATGCTACACGATTCACTAACGTTTTCTTTATCAACAGACTAGCACGTAGGACCTGGCATTGCTCGGGTTCTAGCTTTTAATTTTTTTCTAATTCTTAGGCTTTGATAAATTAGTTTTTAGAACTAAGTATTGTCAAATTTTAAGGTTTTAATTTTTTGTTAATTTTTAGATTTAAACTTATCTTAGATTCAAATAAACCCATCTTAGATTTAAATAAACTTAGCTTGAATTAAATAAACTTGGCTTGGGTTTAAATAAACCTGACTTGAGTTCAAATAAACAAGCCTGTATTAGGTTTATTTAAATATAAATAAATCTAAATTAGATTTAAATAAGCCCAAGTTGGGTTCAAATAAATCTAAATTGGGTAAATAAGCCCAAGTTAAGTTAAATTAAAACTAAATTAGTTTATCTACAATATAATTTTATTTAGTTTTTATTTAATTTTTATTTAATTTTTTTTTTTATATTTATATTTTTGTTATTTTTTAATTTTTTAATATTTTTTAAATTAATTTTATTTTTTTTAAATTAATTTTTAATTTTTTTATTAAAATTTTGTTTTTTTTAAATCAAAATTTTTTTAATACATTTCTTAAATTATTTTTTTATATCTTAATTTAATTTAATTTAATTTATTTAATTTAATTTAATCTATTTAATTTAATCTATTTAATTTAATTTAATTTATTTAATTTAGAATAAATCTAATATTGCACTTATGCAGTTTGTGCCTCTATAGCAAAACTAATAAAAATTAGAATTGGGTAGAGTATTAAGATTAGGTTAAGGTTAGGTTAGGGTTAGGGTTAGGGTTTAGAGTTAGTGTAGAGTAAAATTGTAAGAGAAATATTTTTGGCTAGTTATACAACAGGGTTACCCTAGTGAAATTTTGTGATATTGGTGATTTTTAGCAATTTTTATAATAAGGAGTACAAAGTGCATGGGCACAGTCTAGTTCTGTTCTTAATTTAATTTAATTTATTATTTTTTTTAAATCTTATTTAATTTAATTTAATTTAATTTAATTTAATTTATTATTTTTTTTAACTCTAATTTAATTTAATTTAATCTATTTAATTTAATTTAATTTAT